TATTAATTCACAACAAAATATTTTATTTATTCATTTAAAAATACCCTTGAGCAACATTTTACTGTTATTACTGATGCCAAAATTAACAGTTTATACGTTTATTAATTAGATTTATGATATTTGTAGAGTGCAATGTTTTTGTATTTGTCATCAATGTTAACATGTCATCATGTAATGAAACTTTAAGTAGAGATTTGTCACTTTATCCGTGCTGCTGATTTTCCATGCTGCTGATTTCTTACCTGTAAGCTGCTATATTCATACCCATCTGCTCACAACAGACTCATGTTCATGCATATTTTTAGTTTAACGTATTTCTTAGTTCATATCTTAGATCTTATTACCATTTTTCTTTACAATGTATACTTTCACTGGATGTAACTGGGACCCTGTGTACATAGTTTCTTTCCACCGCATGTACCACATGTGTTGTGAATGACAAACAAAGAAAATTTGACTTTGACTATTATATTTTTGTTATTTTTGGGTGTAACTGGGACCTTGAGTAAACAGTTTTGTTCCACCTCATTTATTATTTATTAACCTTTATTTAACCAGGCAAATCCACTGAGATCACGATCCTTTTTGCAAGGGAGGCCTGGGCCTGAAGGCAGTCTAATATGCATGTTTTTGTACCACATGTGATGCAAATGACAATAAAGTCTCCTTGAACCTTGAATTATTGTAGTGCATGAATATAAAAAAGTCCTAAATGTGATTTCAAGTAAATATTTTAGCTAAAAATGTATTACTTTTTGATAAGTGTCCACAGAAATGTTCTGAATGACCTACACGATTGCTCAGGTGTAAATTTATCATTTCAAGGTTTTTCATTTCTACGCTGTTTAGTTGTGTGCTTGATTATTTGCTTTTGGAAAATGTTCACATTTGTCTTTCTGGTTTATAACAGTCTAATTATTTCTCTTTATCTGTCAGTATGCAGCCTTTTGTTATCATTATTCTTCTCATTCAGATTTCTTTAATAAATCAGTCAAAATCAATAATTTTGTTTTTTATTATTAATAAAATTAATACACCTACGCATATCAAAACCTGACTTGGTTTTCTAATAGTTCATGCACTGATCTGTTTAAATGTGCTACACAAATAAATTTGACTTGACTTGACTTGATCAGTTCAGACAGGCTCCAATAATTCCTGTAACGGTGAATTCAGACAGTATTTGTGAATGACGTATGAATCGAGCAGATTACACTTGTAATGCGTCATTAATGATGATGCATCTCTGACATCATATTTAAGAGCATCTCTTCTATGAAATACCAAGAAGCCACTTCATTCACTCATAAAACAGTTAAAAAAATTATTTCTTTTTTGGGACTGAATGAAAAGCACATACCAATAAATTTAAATGCCATTTAAATTGGCATTAAAAGATCACCGTTATTGCTTTTCCCCCTTTTCTGTTTTAGATGCAAGCAAGCAAGAACACACACACACATATACTGTCAATGCACGCACAGTGAACTGGTCGACTGGCGTCCCAAAGGTCCATGTAATCCGCCACGCTGTAATCTGTTTTTGTGTAGTCTGATTAGTTTAGATTGTGAATTTCTGTGGTTTTAAACATGCAGTTTACGTTTAAATGTAATGTGATGTATTTGCAGCTACTAAAATTTACAGACTTTTGTTTATGTTCTGACTGAACATTAAAAGATGAGATCACTTTTTAAAACAGTTTCCAAAGGCAATGAAAATAAAAAGCTTTTTTTTTTTTTTTTTTTACAGAATCCCTGTTTTCTTTATGCAGCACATAAACCTTTATGTTTATTACATGTGAAAGTAAAAACAATAATAGAAAAATGCGTGTCCCAATGTATTTCTTCATTGAAAATGGCTCATTTGTTTGTACCGTTTTAGCCCCACGGTAACAGGTTGTTATTAGTGAACAGTCAGCAGTTTATAATAGAGTATTGGTGACATATGAATAAAAAGTGAGTCTGCACCGCTTTGTTTTGGTTTCAATTCAGTGGCGAGTATTTCAACACTAATTACATAATCAAATGATCTAAAAACAGAACACAATCATTTGCTGCAGCAGCTAGCTACTACAAAATGACATCTGGATTGAACTAATTCTGTGTTCTGTGTAAACCAGAACACTGCTGTCTTTATAATGCTCATTTATTGAACACAAATATTAAAATGACCTCATATTCTTAGTGATAATTCCACATCAGTCTTACATTATGATTTTCACTATTTAAAAAGAAAATAATGTCATATGTGTATACACTACACAGTTGTTTTAAATATCCATACCTCAGTATAAAATTATAAATATGTAGATAAAACTTTAAAAAGCAGATGTCTGTACTTGAGCTGTGCAAAGGTGTTGCCTCAGGTCTGAGTTTCCGTTTATAGCTGACGTGGACTGTACACATTACACAACTAGAATTAATATTATTTTACTATTATTATTACTAAGAACATGTGACAGGTAAAAGAAACAAAAAACTTGTTTTCTGGTAGGTAATACATTTTTTTTAAATCATATTTAACAGGTAGTATTTTTATTCTCAGTGGTGGCTGAGGTAGATTGGTAGTCAGTGCCATGGTCTTGTAATCTTGAGGTTGTAGGTTCAAGCCCAGGTTGTGTCAAGAAGGGCCTCCGGTGTAAAATAATTGGCAAATCTTTCATGTGAGTTTGAGCAGCCCCTGAAGAAGGTAGCAGCTGAAAGAAAAACTAACATTTCTAGTATCAATAAGAGTATTTCAGTACATTTTAGAGCCCACTACAGAAAACTAAAGAGCTATAAATAAAGTTTTGAACATAATGCTAAACTACACCAGAGTGATGTTTGGATTGGTCAAGTGTTCTGATCTATATTTACTGGCATATATATAAGATCAAAATCTACTTGCTGTAGTTCACTTTTTATTTTTATTGTCCACTGCCACTGAGAAAAGATGGTGAATTGGAAACCCTCCATCCGTCCATCCATACAGGCATGTCGTGAGCATGATAATTTAAAGAACAAGTGAGGCACCGACTTCCATTTTGGTGTACGGCTGCATCTAGACATAAGAAAGGTCTCATTGAAAAAAATTGGGCTGCTATGTCAAATTCCAAGTTGGCCACGTTTCCAATCATTTGAGAAAACTATAATTTCAAGCAATATAAAAACTAAAACGCATAGTTTCCTCAAATGGTTTGGGTGGCTGATGGGGTGGTCCCGGTCACCATGGACCCCCTCCTGGCTCTGCCATTGCGCCTGGTGGTGAATAAAAGTGCTTCGTCCACATGCCAGGATCTGTTACTCTGCACTATATCCACTTGAACGTCTTGCACCCAAAACATTAAGGTTTACTTGCATTCCCTGCTCAATTCCAGCCTAGAAATACACTCATCTCAAAAACTACAAACATTCATTATCAAATCCCTCAGAAACAGGGGACATTGCCATACCACTTGTTTAACTTCTATCCTGAACCCAGGTGGTTTATTGTTAAGTGACGTTTCCAAAGAATGTCCTTAAAAACTCTTAATTTACTCAGAATCACAAACAGAACAACAACCTTACACATCCTGAATCAACCACTGAGTTACTTTTTGCAATAAAATAACCAAGTAAATTGTACATCAGTAAAACTAAAGCAGTACTCACATATGGGGGGGTGTCTACACTCTCGGTATTCACCACCACTGGAGGGGGGTTGGCCTGCAAGAGAGAAGAGAAGAGCAGTTCATCAACTTTTATTTTGTTAATGCTGGAAACATGGAAAGAGCACATCTGCAAAATAAATAAATACATTCTGTGAGCCCTAATGACACAGCAAAGATGATGACTTACGCGTCTCAAGTTTTGGTACAGCATGTTGAGAACATCTGCTATGGACTACCACCATGGAGCGACTGCATTCGCCGCATGACATACTGCACAGCCCTTATCGTGGACAGTACTAATGAACCACTCTGCAAACTGCGCTGAGCAAAACTTTTAAGAAACAATACCGAGTGGTCATAACGCGCTTTAGGTGACTCATCGATGCACTCCAAAACATGCTAATACCACATACTTTTACAGTTTATACTGAACATTGTCTTCAGACTACTCTTGTTATTTTTTTTAAATATTGCTACTCTATCCTTATATGTTGGTCAAACATAAGCTGACATTTTAAATCTAAATCTATGTTTTATATAAACTTTGCAATCCACCCTCCATCCACTGAACACAGATAGTTTCACCTTTATTTTCCTACTTTCTGTTTTACTCTTAAGCTCTTTTTTCTTCCTGGTTTTGTTTCACCCCTTAAACTTTGACAGATTGGTGCTAAAACAGCAAGAATCAAAAATATGGCTTGCATTAGCAGCTATGTTCTTCTCATATATGCAAGAGGTGCATCAGTCTGATTATTCCATTTGTTGCCTCGTCCTTTTGTCTTCATTCTCTTTCTCTCCAGAAAATAGTGCCTGTAAGTTTTCTCGTCTGCAGCCCTAGTCCTTCCCAAAACACCAGTGAGCTTGCCAGTCCACCTAAGATTTAAAAAAAATAGTTCTTAAAGCCAAAAAATGTTCCCAAAATCAATCAGCTAAACCAGCATAAAACAAGGCAGACAACTAAGTGGACAGCCCTCACTGAGTTCAAAATGTGTAGCAACAGCAGCAGCATCTATCCCCCTGCACTAATCTCCCTCACATCACCCAGTTCTACTCCTTTATCTCCTCTCTCTCCCCCCCCCACACACACACACATTATCTCACTCTATGTTCCTCTCTTCCTTCCCTCTCATGCGCAACCGTCTGTCAGTCAAGCCAACTGGATGCTTGATCCCACATGGGAACGGAGAGGAGCTGGGAGTGGCGGGGTCAGACGGATTATAGGTATAGTGGGAGGAGTAAATCTGCTTGTTCAACAACACGAACAACAAGGAGCAGAGGGAGCAGACAAATGCAAACAAACAAAATGAACAAACATGAATAAAATATAAAAGAAATGCACAGTGAGAGAGCAGAAGTGGGCAAAGGTTGCACGAATAAGAGGGCGTGGTGGAGTTCAAGGATGCTGAGGCTGTTAGGACAAACGACAGCTGCAGATGTATGTGTGTGTGTGTGTAAAAAAATGGGAGGAGAGATTTATGAATGCTAAAAAAGTCAAATTATTAAAGGATTTTATGACAGCTTATGTTGAACACATGCTGGGTTCATGAAAAAACATTTACAGACAGCCGAATTAGAAGGAAAAACAGACAAATAGTGTTATGTTAAAAGTATTTTTTGTAAAAACATGTTTTTTTTTGCCATTGAATCTTTAATTTCATCCTTTTGTTGTTTGCTTCTATATTACACCTTAAGGTTTACATGAGGAAAATATCACAAACTACAAATATAAATCACATCATTTTCTATAAAACACCAAATATTTTTTTCTGACATATAACACCTAGACAGTAAACACACCAACCTTCTAATAATTATAATTCCTATGTAAATAGTTTATATTGTTTTTTGCAACCCACCAAGGACATTTCAAATGTTTCTATATTTGTTTGTAAATCCATCTGAGCTATTTGGTTAGTTTCATATTAAACTAATGTAAGGTATGAATATCTGACAGCTAAGTGCCTGAAAGCTTTAATATCCCATGTTACTATCCACCTTATCAGATTTCATCCCAACTGTAACACTAGTATACAATAAAATATCTGTGCATGTGCATATGCGTGTGTGTGAGTAATTCACAAGGCAACAAATCCAGCCAGTCAAGTGTGTTCCGTCTGTTGTTTTTATTGACACGCCAAATCAGATTGAGTGCTTATGTAACACCAACATGTGTGTGTGTTGGGTTGTGTTATATGTAAAGGCCATAAGAACAAATGTGCAATTACACAAACACACAACCGTGTTCAGACAGTGTTCTTCTGCTCAGCCAGCTGATTGTTAGTCGTTATATAATTGCTGTTACACCAGCTGTGTTATCATAGTATTATGGCCTGGTTCAGTCCAGTGCAGCTTAGGAACAAATTCAGACTATCCACGGTTCGTCTCTTTAGCCGAAAATCAAAAGACAAAGACAAAGTCATGAGGATCTTCAATCAAAGGTCTTGTGCTATCATACGATTTATATATTTGTTTTCCATGTGTATGATATGTGTATCTCTATATGCGTCTATAGATAGAAGTTATATTTACAAAACAAGTTTATTGCACAGGACATATTCGTTATTAGTTTTAGGAATAAATAGAAACCAAAAAACAAAAACAAAAAAAAAAAAAAACAATTACTGGTAAAAACAACAACTCTCTCTATCTCTCCATCTCTCTCTCCATCCATCCATCCATCTATCCATCATCTATCTATCCATCTATCCATCTATCTACCTATCTACCTACCTACCTGTCTGTCTGTCTATATATATTGTGTGTGTGTGTGTATGTATATATATATATATATATATATATATATATATATATATATATATATATATAGCTGTTGTAAACTCTTTCCACACTCTTGCAATATTCGAAACAATGTTTCTAAATTCTTCACGCTCTAAATGAGCACAGAATATCATGATCTCAGCTCTCTGCCTCCAGCTGCACTCTGCCAACGCTCTCAGCCACACCCACTTTGCAGCAGATGCAAAATAATGTAAAATAAATTATTTTAAATAAAAATCCCATGCCGATCATGCAGCACATCAATCAATCAGCCAATTGTGTGTCATGTCCAATCTTATTTTGAA